CCCCATCCATGATAAATCCAAACATACTGTCTCCAACTTCATTTAATAATTTTTCAAATCCTTCTTTTGAGGTGTTAGAGTACTGATCTGGAATTGGTTTCAATACGATTTTACTGTTTACCTTTTCCCAGTCACTATAACTAACTTCTCCTCTATACCCAATTTTTTTTTCTCTTCGACTCAAATCAATTTCTAATTTTATAAAATCATCTTTTATTTCTTTAATTGTTGTATTTTCTTTTTCTTCTTTGGTGATACACTTGTACGTAGCATCAGTTACTGTTATTTTATCAACACTAATAGGTTTTAAACAGTGAACCCATGTTAAAAGGTCTTTAATTTCATTTTCTGATCTGCTATTATCAAAGTCTTCATCTGGAACAGAATCTACACAATACATTGGTAAAACAATTTTTAAATCTCCTGTTATTTCTCTGGCAAATTGTGATAACTCTTTATAATAAAGTTTCTTTTTGGTATTTATCGTTTGTTTCAACTTCTTTAGTGGTGTATAATTATAACACATAGTCCATACAACACAAACATGTTTCCAAAAGTCATAGATTGGGAAAATATTACATATTATTTCAATCATTGTTTTTACAGCAGATGAAAGTTTTTTATTGTTATAATTTAATACAATAACAATTGCTTGTACCCCTTTTATATTTTTAATATATTCCACCATTTGTTCAATATGTTCATTATCTTTTTCTATACCTTCAGAATCATAAAACCCAGGTGTATCAATAACAAATACATCGCTTCGATTACCTTCTCCATAAAACCCACTTGTCTTTTGGGTTTTTGAATTTACATCATCAGTAACATCAAATTTATTACTTTTAAGGATAAAATTACCAAGAGAACTTTTACCATCACCTGTTCCTCCAACTAATAGCAACTTAGTTTCTTTTACTTCTTCGATACTCATTGATTAATATTTAGTTATCAATTGTTTAAATAATAATTTACATTAAATAACTATAAGTCACCATTCATTTCATGAATGATGTTTATGAGAAAAATTTAAAAGTCATTTGAAATAACCAATTCTGTATTCTAAATTTAATTATCATAAACACCCTTTATGTAAACAAAAACAACAAATTATTTTTTCTAACACAAATATTTTCAATCGAATTTAAATATATATCACCTTAGTAGGTTTGTTAAAACGCAACGTTTCTATTTTTAATATAATGTATTTTTGTTCAATTTTAAATTTACATTAAAAAGGTTATTTCTTGTTTTAATGGAATTAGAAATTATTCAGAAGAAATTGGAAATTCATTAACTTTTCGACTTAACATTTCAATTTTTATTTTGTGATTTAAAAACGTTTAAATAAACATACCAATTTTATGACAGGATATTTGAATAATGGTTTTTGACAATTTTTGTAATAAACTTATTTAAATTTATTATTTTCAAATTTCAATAATAAAGTTTTTTGGAGTTACGTTACTGATATTGTCTTCAAACACATTCATGAGTATCTGTATTTGTTAGGGTATTTTCAATTATCGCTATAATTGTTATTTATTAAAAATAAAAATGTGTTGTTGAAAACCTGAACATGTTTTTATTTTGAAATTCAAACCAATAGTATATAAAAATAAAAAATGGAAAATAATTCAAAATCATACAACGTATATTCTATTATTTTTATTAATTTTTAATTGTAAAGAAATGAAGTTAGTTTGTATAAACTCTAGTAAAATTATTTTAAACCTCTAAAAAGTGAATTAGTATTATCATTTCCTCTACTACAAAATTGTGCAATTAAACTGTATAAGTTTTTCTTGTTTTATTTTTATGTCAGGCTCACTTTTACTCTCCATCACTTCCCATTCACTACAACTAACTTTTCCATTATATTGAATTTTTATGTCTCTTCTCATGGGTTTGACTTGTGACATTCTGTTTATGTTATTTTCATCAGCTTCTACTCGGCGCTGTTTTTCTTGTGTGACAACTTTTTTATATTCAGAATCTTCTCTTTTTTGTTCTCTCTTGATGTTAATAGGTTTTTTAAAACTTCTAGCCCATGTTAGAAGTTTTTCAATCTCCATCTCTGATCTGCTATTATCACACCCTTCATCTGGATGGGAGTCTACATAATACATTGGAGGTTCAATATCATATTCTTCTTTATTTCCACTAAATTCTTCAATAACCCTTTTTAATTGTGGATAATAATAATCTTTTTTGCTCTTTTTATGTATGTCTAATTGTTTTTGTGGGGTATAATTATAACAGTTAGTCCATACAACACAAACATGTTCCCAAAACTTATAAAATGGAAAAATGTTACATATTATTTCAATCATTGTTTTTAAGTCATTGGAAAGCACACCATTGTTATAATTTAATACAATAACAATTGCTTGTACCCCTTTTTTGTTGTTAATACAATCAGCCATAGCATTCAACCATCTTTCATTCATTTTACATGAATCTTGAAGACCAGGTGTATCAATAACAAATACATTCCTTCGATTACCTTCTCCATTATATCCAACAGTTTCTTGCGTTTTTGCATCACAGCCACTACTTACAGCAAATTTATTGTCTTTTAGAATAAAATTACCAAGAGAACTTTTACCATCACCAATATCACCAATCAAAAGTAATTTAGTTTCTTTTACTTCTTCAGTACTCATTGATTAATATTTAGTTATCAATTGTTTAAATAGTAATTTACATTAAATAACGATAAACAACCATTAATTTCATGAATGATGTTTATTATTTTTATGTACGATTTTATGTAAAAATAAATACAAAAATCAATGAAACAGACAAATGCTTATCGTATTTAAAAAGGATAAATCAAATATACACCCTATTTTATTTATAAGTATTTTTATATAAATTAATCTTAGAAGAGTTAATTAAAAAATAAAAAAATGACGAGTGTTAAAATAATAAATTTTATAAAACCACTACCCCATTCAGTTATTTTACATTAAATAATGTTGTTTAATGAAGTTATTGTTTGTTACCAATATAAATATACTTATTTTTGTCAATGCAAATTTACAATATTTATGTAACTTATTATTCAAATGAAAATAATATACAAAAATAAATGAAACCTATTTTTGTTATAAGGTAATTACACAAAAATAATAAACAACACATATAATAAGTTTATTTTTGATATTATCTTGATTAATTATATGTTTCTTCTTTGGATTTTTTATGTCAATTATTTTTGCCATTTTAAGAAGTTTACTTTGTTGTAACTTTGTTAAAATGTTTTGAAGATGAAAATAATTAAAATGATTAGTATTCCTATTGTTATATTTGTAATTTAATGAGTTATCATAACTATGATAGTTTTCATTGTATTTGTTGTTTAGAATGACTTATAATTCTTTTATAATTATCACTTCATTCATATAATACCTTATAATGTTTTTTATTGTGCCTATATTGATAAATGTATCAACACAAAAAGAGATATATTGGGATATGATAAAAATAATAAAAGTATCATGAATAAGTAAGGTATTATATTGGTATATTAAATAATTTGGTTCACATTATTCTTATCATTTATTCATTTTGTTTGTTATTAATTAATGAAAGAAAAGTATACAAAAACAAGGTAAATTGTTAATGCATAATACCAATAAATTTTATCAAACAACACAATGTTACCAAATGTATTTATAATTATCCTAATTATAAATAAGACTTTTATTTATTCATCAAATTGTTTTGTTTCATTCATACATTAAATGTTCAACTTTCATAACAATCCTCTTTATTACAAATAGAGTAAACATTAAATAAATTATGTTTATATGAAAATAAATAAAAAATATTAGAAATAATATATTTAAAGAGTCTTGATAACTTATTATCATACTTATTATTTTTTCTTGTTTCATTGATGTTGGTGTTTCAATTGCATTTTCATTTGTACTAACAAATAAAAATTTATAATATAAATATTAGAATGTGTTGAACATTCCATTGACTGCTAATATTGTTGAGAATATACTTAATTTATTTATTATAGTAATAATTTACGAAATTTATTTAATAGTAGAATTACCTAGTTAACTAATTTAATACACATAATCTCTATTTAATATTCATTACGTTTTGTAAACTCTCGTATGAAAATTATATAAAATTAGTAAAGAGAATAATCAATAAATTATTAAATAAATATTATAAAATTTGGAGTGTATTGATGAATTGTTGACGTTGTTGGTGTATTAATAATAAACAATAATTTTTGATATGTTTTAATATTAATGCTGATTATAATAAACAATTTAATTGTATAATGTACATTTTTAGTATAATTATTAACATAATAAAATACAAAAATAAATCAACACATAAAATAATGTTAAAGACATATAAATAATATAAATAATAGTATTTGTGTCATATGTAATAAAAATGGATAATAAAAAGAAGAATCTCATGGATGTGAAATATAAAAATGAATTGGTTTTATTCAGAAATAGAGTATAAAAATAAACGTAATAATTTCAATTAACTTGGATATTCTACTATTTCTATTAAACGATTTACAACTGATAAATTTAAAGAATAAATCGATTTATAAAATAATTAAAACAGAAGGAACAGTGTATTAAAATAATAGGTAGAATATAATACATAAGTTGTATGAAAATTGATTAAAAGAAAATATAAGATAACTAAAAATAGACAATCAATAAATCAAGAACAATTAAAGAAAACGAAATGAAAAAGATAAAATATATTTGAAACATTAAGTTATATTAAACTATTAATTTATTGAATAAAATCTCAAATTTTATTATTTTCAATTATTTTCTCTTTCTTTCATTTATTGATAAACAATAAGAAAATAAAATGAGTTATAATCGAGATAATTTAAAAGAGATAACTAACAAATAAATTGAATGATTATTTCATTTTGATGATTCAACATTGAAAATTATATTCAAAGAATATTTAAGATAATATCATTTATTTTATTATTCATTTAAATATATAATATTTCATTATTTATTTCATTTTTGTATTATTTTAATATATTTACAATATGTAATGTATCAATTTGATATAACATTGATGATTTATATTTATTTATCATATTTTATTCAACATAAAAATAAAATACTAAATAACAATAAAATAAAATCATAAATAATACACAATAAAATTATATATTAAATGTTGATGTTAATAATAATTTAAAAGAATAAATAAAATGAAGAGTAAATTATTGAATAATTAATGAATAATATAAAAGAAATAAAAATAAGAGATGAATAACAAAAGAAAATAATAATAACAGAATGAAGAAATGATTAATTCAGTTATATTAATGTTTATTTCTTATTTATTTAATTATTTTCATTATATTTGTATGAATTTATCTATTTCTTTATTTTATTTCATTGATTGTTATTTTCATCAATTCATTCATTTTATATCATTTATATTGTTTATTCATTGAAGTTATTATTCTTATTTTATGTTTTATTTCATTATTTCATTTTGATTCTTATTCTTTGTTGTTTCTTTATCATTTGTTTATTTTATTCATTCTCATTATTCATTTTATTATATTTTCTTTTATCATTTATTCATTGTTTATTGTTTATTTATTATATTATTTGTTATTATTAAATATGATTAATTGAATATTGAATTAAAATAACAATTCATTTTTCATTCATCATTTGTTAATATTATATCAATAATCAATACAATGAATATCATGTTATTCATTTCATAATTATTCAAAAGATAAATTCACATAAATTAAATATAATTTAATAAAATAGATATAAATCATCACAAAATGATTGAAACATGTTAATATTCACATTAAAATGTTTATTGTCAATTAGAAAAGAGTTTCATTTGTATTATTCTTTTTCATCAATTCTTTATATTTGTTTTGATTCTTCTTATCATTTTATGACTTTTCTCTTTTTATTTTATTATTTCTATATTATATTATACTATATTTATTACTATTTGATTATGACTTTAATTATTGAATAAATATGAAATATGTCAAAAGTCATTATTGAATATTCTTCACTTTCTCGTTTCATATTTAATTCATTTACTTTGATTTATAAAGTGATTTCATTGTGTAAGTCACAACAAAGAGTAATTTGTTTAATGAAATCCCTCCAGAAACACATAAGAGTGTCTAGAAGATGGTGAATAGAAAATACCTATCTTCTTAAAGGCATTTGATGATTATTAGAATATTATATTTGGTTGTACTTTTATAAAGGTCAGCTATTCAGTTGGTCCTTCTTCTTATGATATGAATGAATAGCTTATTTATACCATATGGTGAAGTATCAACGATAGACAAAAACCAATGTAGATTTATTTCCAAATTAAATTCAACAAAATTGTCTGAAGTTATTAAGAAGAAGAAGATGAGAAATGGAGAAATGATAAGTTCAAATAGAACATTTATCCCAAAGTGTCAGTTAGTCAAAAAGAATAAAAGAGAGAAAATAAGGGATAATTGAAAATAAATAAAATAAATGTTTTAAAATAGTTAATGTTTTTAATAAAATAAGAAAATAAAATAAACATTCAAAGAAATAATGATAAAATGATAATTAACAAATGAATATAGAATATTCACAGTTCAAATAATATCATTTCATTCATATTAAAATAAATAAAAAGTACAAGAAGAATGATTAATTATTATTTTATTCATTTCTATCTTCTTTTTCTTTATTTTCTTATTTTATTTTTCATTGAATTATTTCATTTGTTATCTTTATCTCTATTTTATCTTTATTTTATCTTTCTTTGTTTTATCTTTGTTATTTATTTTATTATTTATTCTTTCTATTGTTGAATTAATTACATTTATTCATTTTATTATTCTTTTATTTCTTCTTCATTTCATTCTTCTCTTATTTTATTTTTATTCATTTATTTCTTCATTTTCATATTAATATTTTCATTCATTATTATTTCTTTATTAATTCTTATGTTTTTGTTTATTTTATTTGAATAGTATTTTTATGTATTGTTTATTTTCATTTATTATTTCTTTTATTTGATTATTTCTTGTATTTCTCTTTTATTATGTTTATTTGTTATAGAATTTAATGTATTTATTATTTGTTATTCTTATTAAATAATCAATACATTCATTTTGGTTTATTTTAATTATTTTATGATTTTGTTATTTATCATTTGTTGTTTCTTCTTCTATTCTTTGTTTCATTTTCTTTCTTTGTTTGTTTATTATTTTCAATATCTCATTTTGCTCGTTTATTTGTATCTTTATTTTATATTCATTCTATTCTTATTTTCATTCTCTTTCTTATTCTTTATTTTATTTGAATATCATCTCTATTATCATTCTTTTTATATTCTTTATTAATTTATATTGTTATTTGTTTATTATTTTTCATTGATTCTTTTATTTCTTTCTTTTATTTTATTTCATGTATTTTCAAATACTATTTTAATTAGATATTTATCATTTTGTTATTATTTATTCATATTATA